TTTTTTTTTTTAAATTTATTTTACTTGGGATTTATTTGTACTTTTTTGAAATAATTGGGAGTTTGGTTGTAATTTATTTTTTATTTTTCTTGTCTTTTTGTTTTATTTAAATATGAGGGTATATTTATTATTTTACAATTTTTAATTAAGAAATTGTATAAAATTGATAAAAATGACATTTTTACAATGAAACGTGAAAATAGAGGTGCAAATACAAAAAATTGAAACGCATGGACATTTTGTCCATTAAAGGCTTGTTTTAGCCCCATTTTTGTCCTCAAAAAAATTATATTTTTGAATAGTGTATTGATAGAAAATGTGTGTTTAAAAAAATAAGAATTTTTGGAATTTACGTGTAATATTATTTTATTAAAATTTTTTTGATTGAAATGATGTCAAAACACTATTCAATAATGTATTTTTTTTTTCAAAAAATAAGGCTCAAACAAGGGCTAAATGCTAAACGACGGGACGTTTTGTACCAATAAGCCTTTGAGTTTCTACTGAAATTTTTATAAATGAGTAATTAGCACATAACGCCATTATATTTCACTATTAGACCTTGTTTGAGCACAATCTTATCAAAACATTATTTTTTTAAAAAAACTCATTTTCAATCACACATTCTCCAATAAAATAACATTACACGTAAATAAAAAAAATTCTTATTTTTTAATCACATTCACAAAAAATCACTATTCAAAATATATTTTTATCTCAAAATGCGTCTCAAACAAGGCCTTATTGTGTAAAACATTATTACTTTTTATTTTTTTTGTATTTTCATTCTTATTTTCACCTTTCATTTCACAAAAAAGCCATTTTCATCCAGTTTTTTAATTAAAAATTATGGATTGAAGAATACATCATTTTATTTAAATATAACAAAAAGGAAAAGAAAGAAATAATTGAAAATATAGTTATAATTTTTTTAAAAAAAGTGCAAACGAGTCCCAAATAAATTAGTAAAATGGTAATTAGTACATAACGTCCATACATTTTACTATTATTGTGAAAATGTCAATACCTTTTATTTTTTTTGGCATTTTCACATTTAAATACACATTTGATTACTCAAACCATCTTTATATCCATTTTCATCTAATTTTTCAACAAATTTGTGAAATGACTAATATACCGTCATATTTAAATATATAAAAAAGAAGTAGAAAAATAAAGAACTAATAGCAATCATAGTCTCAATTTTTTTAAAAAGTGTAAACGAGTCCCAAATAAATTATTAAAATTTTGAAAATAATTTTTTTTTTTTTTAAAAAGTGCAAACAAGTTCAAAATAAGTTATTAAAAATTTAAAAATATAAAAAGTGCAGACGAGTCTCAAATAAATTATTAAAAAAAATAATTTTCTTTAATTTTTTTTTATTTTAGTAGAAGTGTATATTCGTCATTTCACAACATTTATTAAGAAATTGGCTGAAAATGAATAGAAATAATCATTTGTGCAATTAAATATGTAAATAAGGGTGAAAATGTCAAAAAATGAAAATAGAGACGTTTTTCACAATAAGCCCTTGTTTAAGCTCCATTTTTTTTTCTATTAAAATATATTTTTGAACAATGATTTAACTATATTTCAACCACATATTTTTCAATAGAATAATATTACACGCAAACTCAAAAAATTTTCTTATTTTTTAACTAAACATTTTTCATCATAGAGCTATTACAAAATGCATTTTTTGGGAAAAAAAATGAAGTTCAAACAAGCCCTAATAGCAAAATGTATGAACATTATGTGCTAATTGCCCTTTTAATAATTTATTTGGAACTCGTTTGTACTTTTTAAAAAATTTGAGACTATGATTACATTTAGTTCTTTCTTTTTTCTTTTTGTTTTATTTAAATAGAAGGGTACATTCATCATTTCATAACTTTTAATTGAGAAAATGGATGAAAATGACATTTTGCGCAATGAAAGATGGAAATAAGGGTGAAAATGTCAAAAAATGAAAGATGATGACGTTTTTCACAATAATAATGAAAGGTAAGGACGTTATTTGTTAACTACCCTTCACATATAGTCCCCAACCTATAGACCTTAAGCGAAATCAGTCCCTATTCATTTTTTTCTTGGGCACCCTCGTTCCAAACCTAAAAGTTATGGTGCAAAAATAGAAAATCAAAAAGTCATGTGCGCCAGGTTGTGTTGTGTTGGGCTTGCAAATCAAGGTGAGTCATGAAAATCTTTTGTATTTGACTTACACACACAAACATGTCGACTAGGTCTAGCACAAATCTAAAATGTGGAATTTATGTTGGTTCGACAAAACTCATTTGATACTTCTTAGAGAAAAATGGCATGTAACCACATGAACCATGCCCATGGGGAAATTTAATAGGATTTCTTTCGATTTTGAAAATTTTGACATATCTAAGAGAAAAATGGCATGTAACCACTTGTACCGTGACCTTGGGGAAATTTAATAGGATTTATTTCGATTTTGAAAATTTTGACATTTCTACTTTCACTCCTCTCAGTCAGACTGCTCTATGTCGGTATTACATAATTAGCTCCACTCGTCACATGTTATAATAAGGATTCGTTTGATTGTAAGGGTGGAAAGAAAATAAATTTCAGATAAAATAATTGTCTAGAAAATGTTTTGTAAGAAATTGTTAATTAAGTACGATTGATTTGTATAATTTTCTACCCAAAAAATTTTTAAATTTTGTGTTCGTTTGATTTTGTTTTACATGAAAATTGTCCATTAAAGTGATAATTTTTTCCACAATTGATTATAAAATTTGTTTTCATTGCCAAAAAGTAAAAAAAAATAAAAATTTTACATGAAAAGAGAAAAATGGCATGTAACCACTTGAACCATGACCTTGGGGAAATTTAATAGGATTTCTTTCGATTTTGAAAATTTTGACATTTCTATTTTCACTCCTCTCAGTCAGACTGCTCTATTTCGGTATGACATAATTAGCTCCACTCGTCACATGTCACAATAAGGATTCGTTTGATTGTAAGGGTGAAAAGAAAATGAATTCCAGATAAAATAATTGTCTAGAAAATGTTTTGTAAGAGATTGTTAATTAAGAGCGTGTCTGGTTCCCATTTTCAACAGGGTGCAATTGATTTTCTAGCCGTTTTGTTTGACGTTCTCTCACACACATTCAGCTCAAATTGTGAAAATGCTACCGTTGAGTGGTCCAACGGTCCAAAACTCACTTTTAATTCAAAATTTCAGTGGTGCCAGACAAGCCCTAAGTACGATTGATTTGTATAATTTTCTACCCGAAAAATTTTTAAATTTTGTGTTCGTTTGACTTTTTTTTTACATGAAAATTGTCCATTAAAGTGATATTTTTTTCACAATTGATTATAAAATTTGTTTCCATTACCAAAAAGTAAAAAAAAAAAAGAAATTTTTTTTTTCCTTAAAATTTTTTTTTTTAATCAAAGTTTAGTTTTCATTTTACTTTGTTTACATGAAAATTGTCATTAAAGTGATTTTTTTTTTACAATTAGTTATGAAATTTGTTTCCATTGCAAAAATAAATAAATAAAAATAAAACTGGAATTGCTTTTCCCACCAAAAAGGTGGGAAAAAATTCAACAAAACCAAAGAAAATGTGCACGTGTGGGGGGTGGGAGGGAAAACCAATTCCTTAGAAAAAATGGCTATCAAATATTACAAATTGAGGGAAATGTTTTCCATTTCACAAGAAAAATATTTGCTAAGTGGAAAAAAAAACCTTTATTGATCAAGAATTTGAAGGCAGGCTATCATGTAGGCAAAATTAGGAATTGACTACAATTTCGAGCTGTTACTTTTAGGCCATGTTTAATTGTTATATTTTTTATGGAAAATGTCACAGAAAAACAAATTTCACTTTGACCGTTTGATTACAACGTGAAAATGAAAAATGAATTTCAAAATACAATCACATTAAACTGTATTTTCTTTGCTTTAATAGAAAACAAATTCATATGAATTTGGTGGATTTTTATTTTCAACTAACATGGAATTAAAATTCATTTTCACATTTGTCAATATAAAAGACTCTTAATAAAATTTCTTGTAGACTTTAGTACTGGGAATTAATGTGACATACCGTATATGTATCAAACGGTTCGGTCCTCAACAAAAGAAAAGTCGCCTTGCGTACCTTTTGGAACTGCCAAACCCAATCCGAGTCTTCCATTGAATACCGAGAGTCGCGACTATGGCCGACCACCACCACCACCACTACCGGCCAACCCGCATCTCACTTCCGCCGCGCACCACCAGTCCGACCGCCACAGCCACTACAAGATCCTCCTACCCTTTTTTCCCCTACCCCCCGTCAACCCCAACACCTACTCCTTCCAAACACCGCCTTGCTCTGTCCTCCAAATCCTCCACAAATCTTAAAACCTCATCCTTCTCCTTCTTCCTCCTCCTCCTCTTCTCTCTCCGGTCCCTCTACTCTGTCCTCCCTTTTCTACGCGCCTCCCCACTCTCTTTCTCTATTTTCCCCTTTTCTTTTCTTGTATCGCTTCTCTCTTTCCTTCTCACCCTTTCTTTCTCTTTCTTTAGCTTAATTTTCTCCCCAAAAGAAAAACCTCAGCAGCCTATTTTTTCTCTTACTTTGATCACCCAGTCCCAGCATAAACTACTTGTGGTGAAATCATTGCTTCTCGCGGTGGTTTTTTTGCTTAGGTTTCAGGCCCTCCAGTATTGTGGCACTGCAGCACTGATTTTGGCGGAATTATCTGGAAATTTGGCGGCGCGTTTCGTGGCTGAAGGTAAAAATCGTAGCTTTATTAATCTAAATCAGACTGGATCCTCCAAGGTGCGTGGGTTTATTGCTTTGTTTTCCGGGTTGCTATTGTTGTCTATTAGTTGGGATCGAATCGAATGCTTTCCTTTATCTTCTGTGAATGTTGATAAATTCGGGTTTTCAATGTTTCCCCGTGGGGATTGTGTGAGAATTTGGCCTATGTTGCTCCCATTTTTGTCTGGGTTTTTGGGGTGTTATGAGCGGATTTCGATGAATTCGGGGACTATTCGTGACTTAGGTCAAAAAAGGGTTCGGTTAATTACATTGTTTTTCACCACAGTTGTGCTTTTCATACCGGCTGTTATTAGTATGTTTGTGTTCGAAGCAGAGGGAGATAGTATTTCAATCTTGAGTCTTGGTTGGTCATTGGCAAATACTGTGGTGTTTGGGGTGCTTTTGAGTGAGAATTACACTGATGAGAAACTGGCTACTGCCAAAGACTTTCGGAGGGAATATTTTGTCACCTTCATGTGTACACTTCTCTTGGAGTTATTTTATTTCCCCGAGCTCTCACTTTGGGGATTGCTGGTTTGTGGATTGTTACTTTGGATTGCTGTGAGAGAGTTAGATCCTCTTTATTCTGATTATGTTGAATTGGGCTACGAATCATCAGAGTCTTTTAGTACGACAGTGATGAAACCAGTTAGGCACATTTTGAGTGAAAGGAAGTCACGCAAGATTGCTCTTTTCCTATTGATCAATACAGCTTATATGGTTGTGGAATTTGTTGCTGGTTTCATGAGTAACAGTCTTGGGTTGATATCTGATGCCTGTCATATGTTGTTTGATTGTGCTGCTCTAGCCATCGGTTTGTACGCATCTTATATTTCACGGTTGCCTGCAAATAGTCAGTTTAACTATGGTCGTGGGAGATTTGAGGTTCTTTCTGGGTATGTCAATGCCATTTTCCTTGTTCTTGTTGGAGCATTGATAGTCCTTGAGTCGTTGGAGCGGATTTTGGACCCTCAAGAGATTTCAACAAGCAGTCTCTTGTCCGTTTCAGTAGGAGGTCTTGTTGTGAATGTCATTGGGTTGATCTTCTTTCACGAGGAGCACCATCATGCCCATGGTGGATCTGGACCATGCTCGCATTCCCATTCTCACCATGAAGGTGTCGATAAAGAAGTCGTTGAAAGTAGAAGTGTTCCATGCACTGGCCACAATCACCACCACGATGATCATCTCCATGTTGACCATCATAAACACCAAGATCATAACCATGTCGACCAACACAACCACCAAGATGATCACAATGTTGACCAACATAGCCACCATGATCATCACCACATTGACCAACACCAGCACCAACACCACGATCACCACCATGTTGACCAACAAAACCACCATGATGATCATCACCACATTGACCAACACAACCACCATGGCCTCCACCACGATCATCACCATTCTGACCAACACAGCCACCGTCATCACGATCTTGAGCAACATGATGATAACCATAGTCATACTGAAATACTCTTGGACACAGAGAGAATGAGTAAGCATCACCATCACCACGTGGACCACAATATGCAAGGTATCTTCTTGCATGTCCTGGCAGACACCATGGGAAGTGTTGGGGTTGTAATTTCAACCCTCTTAATTAAGTACAAGGGATGGCTTGTTGCTGATCCTGCCTGCTCAATATTTATTTCAGCATTAATTGTAGCTTCTGTGATCCCATTGCTCAGAAATTCTGCAGAGGTCTTGCTGCAAAGAGTTCCTAGAACTTATGAGCAAGATTTGAAAGAAGCTCTAAACGATGTAATGAAATTGAATGGTGTGTGCGGTATTCAGAACCTGCACGTTTGGAGTTTTACGAACACGGATGTTGTGGGGACACTCCATCTCCATGTCTCGAAAGAGACTGACAAGGCTTCTATGAAGAAACAAGTTTCGGACATTTTACATTATGCTGGAATTAAGGATTTGACACTGCAGATGGAATGTGTCAATTGTAATTAAGGAATCTGTTATAATCTTTTAACAACTCTCTCAATCATTTTTGTGTTTGTTGAGGGCATATGTAGAGACATGCGTTCACTGTATTCACGAGATAAGATATGACTGTTTTTTCGTTTCATTTTCTCGTTGGTGTACATACAAAGAATGATGCACTCGGCTCATTTAGAGAGGAGTGAGTTCATAGTTAAACATGTGCTGATTGCTGAAGAACATCCTTGATGTTGGCACAGGGATGAGTTTATACAAATGGAAGCATGTACTACTGCTATTTCGGGGCTTGCTGTGAAAGCATATTAATGAAATTAATGTTCCTTTCTGCAAATTAGATTTTTCATCGCCATGCTTATTAGTTGGAACTTCATGGTAGTTAAATTATTTTGATTTTAGAGGAATAATCTCAAAGTTGCTTAGACAAGCCTTTACGAGAATGGATTGAATAAGGTTGGATTAGAATTGGTCGAAAATTCATTGACAATGACATTGTCGGGATCTTTTTTGCCGGTTATGGTATGATCAATTGCTTTTCGCCTGTTATGGCTATCAAAATTTAAATAGTCAAGCCCACCCTCTATTATTAATGAATCATAATTATATTTAATAAATCACAGATTTCAATATTCCTTAAATTCGAACTATATATAAATTGATTAACTATTGACTAAAAAATTATGTTAAATAAAATCTTAAGAGAACTCAAATATTTCTTGAGAGAAGCAAAATGAAAAGGTAAAATAGAGAATACTATTGGAGTGCGTAAACTTGACTCTTTTAAGAATCTCTAAATAGAGAAATTGGTTCCTAATAACTTACGGGGTTGCCGCGTAAATGGGTCCATAACCTTTAAATTTTGGCATAAACTTCTCTAACATTTCACTAAATGGGGCACAATTATACAACTGGCATGCATCTTATACAATCATTCTAGTGTATTTATGTCATCCACGTTTTAACGTAAAAAAGTAGCTGGAAAATGTGCAACACGAATTAAGTGAAATATAAGAACAAAGAAACAGCAGATGATAACAAAACATGTAATCCACGAATATGCTGTTGTTGAATGTTGAAAACATCATAATGAATTTCCATTCACAGTTACAATTATTCGAATTTGTTGTGTATCCAATCCAAGATTGGTTCAAGTGTCATGCAATAATTGCATTTTAAAGAATCAATTCTCAAAAAAATTCTAACTTTCACCAAATCAATATTTAGGATCAGTGAAGAAGTTGTTGATGGTAGGCATGATTTCAGGCGACTTGTTTCGGACAAACTTCCTAAGAGCATGTTCAGCATACTTTTCCCCTTCTGCAAAGTTGTCCAAAACACCAGCAGCCCGGTTTTCCTTGGTTACCCTTCATTTACAAACATAAGGTCATACGAAATTAGGATCAATGTCTTCTATCTTACCATGTAAATTCAATGCAATGGCCTCAGCTCCTCGAGCAACCAATAACACCGTCGACGCAACATAAGAAAAGAGAGACTAGCAAGTTGATGTAGAAATGCATACTTTTTATATTGTCCAACTGCTGCTAGGCATGAGGTGCATAAGACATGAGTGAACAAGACTATGATTGTTGTTTTGGTTCAATATAAAATTCAAAACAAAAGGAATATGAAAATTAGTTGACATTACAATTTTTTTTCCTAATTCTTAATATCTGTAACTTTAAGTTCATTAACTATTAAGAATTTTTATGGCTTTTCAGCTTTTACAGGATGTGAATCCTTAATAATTTGTACAATCAACTACCTAGTACCTACATACTTGTGACTTTAAACAACGTTTTAATAATTGTACCAAAACTTTGATTTTGCCCTAAGAGTTAAATATTAAAAATTTCCCAAATCAATAAATTAGATTGAACTTCTCAGAATCCCAAGCAGGAATGGTTCCAGGACCGAACTATAAGCCAAGCTAATACGTAATACAGTGGGCTGGGAACTGGACCGAGCTACGGCCCTGCCCAGTTACCCCTACATCCGTCCCTGATCCCAAGTATGGACACTAGAAGCTCAAATGTTCATATGCATGACTAGTTTTGTGGTATGAATGCCAAAACAATTATTTTTATATTTCCATTGGATTTTGTGGAGGTTAAGATTGTTCAGTTAAATCTTCAATTCCGAATCAACCATGTAACAAGTCTATCCAATATTCCTACCGAATACGGAGGATTTACGAGCATGGCCATTTTTCGAACAAGTACTGTATGAGATCCTTTCTACACTCATTCATTATTCGTTATATTTTAAAATATAAACCTTAAAATAACAATTGAACGTGTTGTGTGCGCGCACTCTGAGATATATATATATATATATATATAT